ATGCAGAAAGATAAACCGAACAACATTTGCCTCAGCGTTACATCTAAATTCTTACGTTTTTTGAAATAAGAAAAACCGGCCACACACCGTTTTAAACGGTGCCTAGTGGGTCCTAGCTCCTATAGACGCGTTTGGCCGTTCCGACCGAACGCGGACAAAAAAAAAATAATAATAATAATAATCAAATCAAAAATATATATGCTATGCAGAAAGATAAACCGAACAACATTTGCCTCAGCATTTCATCCAAATTCTTTACCAAATTTGAAATAGAAATAGAATACAGAAAACAATTATGAGTAACTTCAGTAGACTCTAATTACAGTATGGGGCAAGATACCATTTGCAATTGCACTTCAGGCACCCTACCTGGCCAGAAAGTGGGGTTGTATACAATGTCCGAACTGCAATTTGGAACTGTATCTTGGCCCATAGTGCAATTATAACTCGTTTTTGTGACTCCCTCGTGGTTTCCCCTAATAAAAATAAGAAAAATCAAGAGAGAATTACTACCATATGGGAATCCCTAAAAGAAAAACTCAAATTCCTTAATTCAGTAAACGAGATTAAACTTCACATTCAAACATTCAATCAAAACTGGCTTGGAGGGGACAAAGGAGGAAGGGCGTTGTTTGACACACCTCAGGGCGTCCTCGGGCTCCGAGGACGAATCCTCGGAGTAATTTTTTATTTTCGAAGGTGTCGTTCCACCTGTCCTCGAAGAATTGCCCCGAGGACGAATCCTCGGGGCCCTCCCGCGGCCAGTTTAATTAGATTATAAAAAGCCGCGAGAGGAATGTCTGGCCTCTGATTCGGGATGTCCGTGTAGCAGGCGTGGTGGTCCAAAAGGCGGACGGTGGGAAAACGTCACGGGCCCTCGGAATAAAAATCGCCAATGCAGGAAAATCCTCTTTCGAAATTCGAATTTTGAATTTTGATCTTGTGGAGCGACGTGGTGGCGGCGCACAGGCGGGTCCGCCAGGGGGCAGCCTACGCTGCGCAGGGTTTCGTTTGCCATCGCGTTGCGCATTTCAGCGGCGCGGCACCGCCACTGCGTCAAGTGTGGTCGACGCGGCGAAACGAAGACGTCCGGTAGGCAGTCGCGTTCGCCACGTGCAGGCGCCGCGGCGGTCCTGCTCTTCAGCGGTGGTGGGTGGACGCTCCCATCGGAGTCATGTCGTTGGGTCGGGCTGTCTTCCTGACGTGGTTGCAGACGTCTTCAAACGTGGTGGCAGAGGTGCACGGAGCTGGGCCGCGGTGGATGTCGTTTTTTGTCTTCGAAGGACGTGATTGACGACTCCGATGGCGATGGACCTACTGTGCTGTCGACGACGGAGAAGACAACTGTCGCGGCAGCTGCGGTTGCCGTTGTCCGTCGTTTCCAAATCGAGAGTGCGGTCGGGCGCATGAAGGCAGCGCTTTCAAGGCGGTGGTAGAGGCTACTGCTGCAAAGGGTGTTTGACGCCCCGGACTGCATCACCACATCCCAAGCCGTGGTTCAGCTGTGTGCTGCAATCGGGTGCGGTTTGCTTCCTCGGGCGACGCCACGTTGGTGGATGCGGTGGAGAGCTGGCGGGACTTGGGAGGATTTACGAGTGTGCGATGACGCGACAGACGACTACTTCCGGGAAAAGCTCCGCATGTCTAGGAGAGTGTTCATGGAGATCAGCGAAGCATGTGTGCCTCATGTGCAGCGACAGGTGACATTTTACAAGGAGCCACTACAGCCGGAGCAGATCGTCGCGTACGCGCTGTATAGGTGGGCCACAGGAGAGTCTTACGATAACAGCACATCATCCTTCGGCACGGGCAGGACTTCCGGAGTTCGAGCCGTGCGCGATGTGACAGCCGCTATTTTGAGGGTGTACGGGGAGAAGATATCGTGGCCGACGGGGGTGTGGAAACAAGTCGTGCTACGGGCATTTCTGGACAAGGGCTTTCCAAACTGCCATGGCGCAATTGACTGCACATACATCTACGTGGACAAACTGGCGAACGCGCCGAGTGAGAACTACTTCGACCGCAAGCACCGTTTTTTCGTCATTGCGCAGGTTGTGGTGGACCTGGATCTGCGCGTCCTTGATGTGTTCGTGGGATATCCGGGTAGCTGCCACAACATTAGGGTGATCCAGTTGTCAAGTCTGTCGAGGCGCGCGGAAGAGGGATTGCTGTTTTGTGGGCCGCCTGTGACGCTGCCGGGAGGGGTGACGACGAGCGGATACATCTTGGGCGACAACGGGGATCCTCCTTATGAGTGGGTGGTGGTGCCGTAAGGAGGAATCAATCAACACCCGAACGAGGAAAGGTTCGACACGAAGCAGAAGGTCGCAAGAGCGGCCACAGAGAGGGCGTTCGGGAGGTTAAAAGGGATGTGGAGGCTCTTCCTGCGGACGCACAAGATGAACCTCGACAGTCTGCCGCAGCAGTTCACGGCGGTATGCATTGTCCACAACATCCTGCTCGATGCATGAATCGAGTTCCACGAGAATCTGTTGTGGGAGGTCGACGCGAACGGGGTGAGGCGGCGAGTGGACCTGGGGATTCATCGCCCCCCCCAGCCAGTGTCCATGTTGACTTCGACGCGCGAGGCTCATGCGCTCTGCAATGCACTGGCGCAACGGATGAAACACGTTTGATCCAGCCAGTCGCCCACCTGTTCGTCCCGTTGAAGTCGTGTCCCGCCATAGTCGGCCGACAACTCTTTCGTCTTTCGCTCACGCGCGCGATCGCCAGTGAGGGTCTGCCGTCGCGGTCGGGTTCTTTTCAGGTGTTTGTTCTTGTATTCCACGACGCTGTATAGGTCCAGTTCGTAGCGCAGCAGGAGTGCGACGGGATCGCTGATGTAGTATTCGTCCTCTGCGGTCGTCTTTTTCGTATTTTGGCTCTTCATTGTCGTCATGGTCGAGAAGTTGGTTTTCCCGCGCAATGCCGTGGAGTCGTTGATGCGTTCGGTCCTTGTTTGATGGGGGGGGGGAGGGGGAGATTGTCGTAGACGGGAGTCGTAGTCGAGGGCTGGCACGAAGAGGTTCGTGAGCCCGCTGTTTCGCATGCGCTTCACGGCGCCTTTTTTTTTTTTTGGAACTTTGGAACGGTGATTTTTTTTAATGATGTTTGGAAATGGATGTTTTAGTGTAGCCGACTGCTGCTATTGTTTCGAGGGATTTTTTTTTTTTTTTTTTTTTTTTTTTTTTTTTTTTGCATGGAACGTGTATTGTGCATGTCGTCTCGACTTGTCTGCACTTGCGAAATGTCGTCGGAGATGCTTCGTTGTTGCATTGACGAATGACATGCATCGCGTTTGTGAATTCGGAAAAGCTTCGTTGTTGCATTGACGACCGACATGCATCGACAAACAAAAGAAAGATGAACTGGCGACAGATGTGCTCATCAGGCAACTGCGCTATGACTATCCTTTGTAGTAGTTCAAAGTTTTCATTTTCATTTTTCCCCCCTTCCTTCATGGTAGGTGCAATCATTAGGATCCGGCGATCGCATGAGGAAGGGAAACACGGGTGACAAGCATCTGAAAGATGACAATGAAAGTGCATGTTTGGGTTCCTGCCTGTTTTTCTTTTATTTCTTTTCTTTGTTGAGTTCACGACGATAACAACGATGTCGCGATAGGTCAAATCGAAAGAAACGGCCTCGTACACAAGAAGATGCGGACGACAATGCGATGGCCGTTTACGCGTGCATCATGTGATAAAACCACACAGAAAACAACGACGACATGACTCGGTACGCAATCTTTAGCATGCAAACACAGGACATGGAAACAACAACACACATTTCACAGAGTTCATATTACATAAAATCAATCGCACAGGCGGCGATTCCCCCTTCCGTCTGACTATCGACACTTCAAGCATTCCCCACTACACACGGACTGGTCCTGCTGTCTACGCACATTTCGGCGGAGCACTCCGCCGACCCAATTAACCCTGCGGCGGAGCAAACGTACCAAGCGCGCTCCAATCACCTAATAATGACACAAAATAAACGAATGCATCGTTCACTACACATGCACAACGACGACTGCAAGCTCACATATGCATGATGACACTCAAGACCACACGCCGTTTGAACCGCCATGACTACCCGCCTAACGCTCCCCCCCGCCAACCAACCCAATCCCCCCACAACCCCCCCCCCCCCCCCCCCCCCCCCCCCCCCCCCCCCCCCCCGTCTTCCCCGCTGGAAAACCAACACCAGCCGGCACCCATCCCGCCCGTGCTACCCCGTCTTCGGTCGCAGGTGTTGCGTTCGTCGTTGCGTCTTTCAATGCTCCAATCAGTCGACGATCCGCACCTGACGCTGCGTCACGAACGCACCCACGTGTCAACTGTCCTCGTCTCCCACCTCCTCCGCCGCGGGCCCGCTGCCAATCCATCCGTGTTTCGCGGCTTCCGCCGCGTTCTTCAGGGCCGGGTTGTGGCCGAACACCAACCCGCAGTCACACCATTCCGGAATGCAGTGCGGGTATTCTCCCTGCGTGAGGTGAGACTTCCCTATACGATCCAAGACGAGGTTCGCGCTGTCGACGATGTGTCGCCGCCAGTTGAAGATGTACGACCCCGCCGCTATCATTGTCGGTTTGGCGACCATGGACGAGTAAAGGCACGCCTCGTAGTGCGAACGGTCGTCGTCACCACCCATGCGCATGATCCACATGCACGCGCTCAACAACGCTCGAAGACAGTCTGCAAGCCTAAACAACCTCTCATGTTTCACGCGACCGTTGTCCGCCCATTGTCCACACCACAGTGCGTCTGTCCAGCACTCCGCGATGCGAAGAACTGTCGCCTTCTGCCGCGCCGCCATGTCGTCGTCCTCAGGCCGATCCACAATCTTTACCCCCGCGAACCACAGAGGCACGTCCATCTTCATCGCCAGAGTGTGGTACACAAGGGCAGGGGACACCACGTTCGACCATTTCTGCCCCTGCCAAACTGCTCGTGCGACGTCAGTGGCAATGTCGACGCTGATGTACGACTCTGCACGAGCGAATCTACCCGACCGCGACGACGATTTGAAGATCCAGCCGTGGATGGCGCGCAGCACCGGTTTCTCCACGCTGCACGCTCTGCGCAGAGCCGGTTCACGTTGCGCAGGGCCCTCGATCTTGAAGCGCGGCACGTCGTTCGGCGGCAGTATGAGCATCGCAGGTGGTTCGACCCCTGCGTCTCCGTTGGCGATTGCGATGAAGTAGTCCGCGCACTCCCCAACCGCCTCCCTCAACGGTTTCCCTGGTCCCTGACCCTAAAAGAGTCGCAATCAACCCACAACTTTGATCTTTCCTCCAGACCATCCTCCTTTGCGGCTCTCTTCAACCTCGTCACAAGTGGACGGTCGTGGTCGTCGTCGCCCTCCCGCTTTCCGTCTCTTCTTCCCTCGTCGTGGCGGACGTGTTCTACCCTCTCCTCGGCCGCACCTTCGGCGACTCCGCTTCTACCACTGTGATCCGCCGCCGCCGTCCGAGTGCCGATCGCTGTTGCATCGCCCTTTTGCGTGGACTGTGCTTTTCCCCCCCCTGAAGCCCCCAGCTGTTGCAGGGGAAGTGCCTGACGTGGCTGGCCCTGCCCCGCCGCCGTGGGAAGTTGCCTCGGGATGCGCACCTCCGTTATGACAACCCCTGCCACCCTTGGGGTCCTTTGCGATGCCCCGGCAACACCAACACCAATGCTCTGCTTAACAGCGGACAACTATTCCCTCGTCACCCCGTCCCACCCGAAACCCAATCGCGGCGCCGCTGAAGTCCCTTGTGCGTCCACCATCACCACTTCTTCTCCCTGGAAGTCTGCAGTGTGCTCGGAGCTCGACTCTTCAACGCGCTGCCTTTTCGGCTTAGGGATGTGCCCTTTGCCTCTCTTGGTTTCCCCCTCGTCGCCCGCCCCGCTATCTTTCCTGGCCTTCACTGACGCGTTCCTCGGGGCCATTTCGTCCGCAACTCGGCAATGACGAACACGTGGACGAAGGAGCACGTGGAAGTACGACGCTTGGAGATCGATGACGGCCACGTCGACGAAGGAGCACGTGGACGATGCGCAATCATGGTGGGCAGAAGCCACGACGATGATGGCCAGCAAAAAAAGAGCACGTGCTTGCGCCGCGTGAAGGGGGACTGCACGCGGTGCATAAAGCTCGAACGTGGAGACGCAAAGTGCGGGAAGTGTTGGCGTGCGGCTACGAATCACTGCTCAGACGACACCGTCGGAGACGTGGAAAATGGAGTACTGCCGTACGGACTGCGGCCCGGAATCTCCTTTTCAACGCGGTGCCCTATCGCCGCACACCGTGTACACGCCACGCCGTCCACGACAGCCTGCCCCCTGGGCGATCGTACACGGACCGTTTTTTTCCCGAAGGCTTCTGGTGATCCGTCGTATGGAAGTGCTGGCATGTGGGCGCGCAGGAGGACCATGGTGGAGGTCGAAAGACCCCGGCACGCTTCCGTCGCCCGCCACCCCCTTGAAAAACACACAGGAGGACCATGGTGGAGATGCCCCTGTCCTCCATTGTCCCCTCCCGCCCACAAAAAACACACCCTGCCACCCATTCATGATCGTTCGCGGATCGCTTTAGCAATCTCCATAAGGGTGTTCCACATCAATAGGTTCGCCTGGTCGGCCTTCACGTAGTGCTCCTTCTGCACTTCTAGCTCTTCCTCGAGAATGTTGCATTGCCTAGTGAGAATTGAGCACTGCCTCTTGCTCGCGCTGTCCACCGTCGTCGCCATCAGACTCCCGTGGTCCTTCATGACGTCCGCAATCGTGTCGAAGGTCTGTTGTCCCACATTCTTCCTTTTGCCGCACCCGCCCACACCACCGCCGCTGAAACTTGAATTCCGCGTCGATCCCTGATCGTCGTCCTGCCCATCCCTGCATCCGTCACTACGGCCTGAATCGTTCTGACCTCCAGGCCGTCCTGGTAGTTGAACACCTCCCGCCGCACATGTGTCCGCCAGATTCGTGGGGTGTATAGTGTGATCGCCCCTGGACATGGCCATCATCTCTGAATACACACGCTCGTCCATCCGAAAATCGAAACCCCGATCCTTTCTCTCCCGCGGCGTCAGTGTGAAGAAATCAAGCTTCCCCGATTCTCCCATGAACTTGTGCACAATTTTGAACTTCATGTACAGGTTGTCCTATTTTTTCCCGCAGTCGTCGGCCTTTCTAGTCGTCACCCCCATCTGCACGAGCCTGCTCTCGATGTCGGCCCACTTCCATGTCTTCGTCTTCATCCTTCCCATGTTGTGGCCGAGGCCAGCAAGATGCAAATCCTGGTTTCTTTTAGCTCTGACAAGAGTAATCATGTGTTCCACGGTCCAAAAATCCCTGCTTTTCGCCCCGTCGCCTGCCGACGCATCTCCCGTAGTCTTCTTGCCTCTCCGCCCTGCGCGCGGCTCGCTGGACTTGCTCGTCGCCCTAGGCCCTCACCGTTTCTTCCCCAGCGGACGAATCTCCATCTCCCCATCGTCGTCGTCGTCGTTGTTGTTGCCCCCGTCGCCTGCCGAGCAATCCTCACCACCCGCACCGTCGCAATCGTCGGGTGTGTCGTCCGCCCCTACATTGATCTTCGCCACCCCTCTCGTTATGGCAGATGTGCTAGATTGAGGCGATTGTCGCCGGTAATCATCCCAAACCTCTCGTCCCGCGACCTCCGCAGCGTAGCCATCATCGTCATCCCGTCCTCGCTGGACTGCGCCACCTGCCGTTGTCGATCCACCTGTCCTCGTCCCCGACGAGCGAACACTTGCTGTGCCCACTGCCGCCCGCCCTCACGAAACGACTCCACGTTCGTCGCCCGACTGACCAGAACCCCGACCGCGGGTGTCAGGAAGGCCACACGGCCCCACCGAAGGCGCTGTGTGGTTGCTGGCAGAACGCGGGTTCACGAGAACCGTGTGCGTGACGTCCTGGCCACTTCCAGACCTCAAACCGAAGCTGAGATCTACGAGCCCTCCGTCATAACCAACCGGGGTCCGCCCCTCCAGCAGATCAGTGTACGTCGGCGTCGAGAGCTGTCTGTACAACTGGCTCCCCATCCAATCCTGCGTCGAACCGCTGCCCAGAGGAACCGTTGATGATCGGGGCTCGTCGCTGTCGTCGTCACTCAGAGGCAATGGAATCTCGTGGGACGGCAGGTGGCTGTACAGCGTCGGGTCGTACGAGCGCCTGCCGCCTTTCGCAGAGCTGCAACGCTGACGTGACGACTCGCCGGCCCCTACAGACATCGTCCTCTTCGTCTGCACCTTCTCCATCTTCCCGGTCGCCTTCGTCGTTCGCCGCCTCTGTTTCCTCCCAGGGACACGACCGAGGATGCAGATATGAAAGACGACAACGGCTAGCAGCAGCACAGCGACAAGCAGCAACAAAGGCAGCCTGCAGCACAGGTCAGCCATGAAGGAGAGGGGACACACTTGGCTGTCGCGATCGTGGCGACCGGACACACACGTTGCACCAGGGAAGACGCCGACGTACGAAATTGCTGCAGCCACCGGCCGAGGGTGGACGCTTAAAGAAATTCGTGTTTCCGACCGTTGGGCAGCCCGCGGGAAGGCTACGACACCTCCACGACCCGGCCGAAAATGTCTGATGCCCGGCACGGCACCGCCGTGGGGCCGCCCGACGAACCGACAGGGACGTACCGCCAATCCCCGGCAACGGTAAAAAGACGAGGCCGTTGGTGGACATTTTGGACGTTGGCGCCTCGCGATGTCCGTCTTCTACATGGAGGACCAGCACTGGACCACCTCCGACCACCAATGTCCCTTTTGGACTTGCCGCCGACACCCCGATTATCGCGGATCCTCGGACTCCGAGGGACCTCGCGAGATCCCTTGGAGCCGAGGACGATTTGGCTGGAAAATCCTCGGAGCCCGAGGATTTGTCCTCGGAGTGTTTTCACATTTCTGTTTCGAAAATCGGCTCCGAGGACAGGTGGAACGAAGACGAAATCCTTGGAATCACGTCCCCGAGGTGTGTCGAATGACGCCCGAAGGCTAGGGCAGGTGAAATGGGAAGGATTACAAGGATGTGATCAGGATATGCCTCCAAGAAATTACCGCCTGTTCTTCAATGACTGGAGCAATATTGACCCCATGATCCCAATGAGGCCATTATCAGAGTTTCCGGATCCTTTTCCTCCGGCAAGTCTGTCAATGGTTCCCAGGTCATGGTATACGCCAGATCCAGATTAAATACCCATAGCAGAGGCCTACTCCCTCAGCTCATGATTGAATGGTTGAGTATATGCAAATCTGCTATCTGAATACAGCGCTGAGATACATGTCTAAATCTGTTGCCTGATTACAGCAGTGGGAGAGGAAGCACTAGTTAAGTATGTAGATCTGGCGCCCGCTCAGGGTGAAGAGGTGCAAGACCAAAATTCTCTTATCCCTCTGCTTCTATCCTCATATCTGTTCAGATGGGACGCTGGGCCCGCTTCCCAGCTTTTGCTGTTCCTTGTCACTTCAAGTCTTTTTGATGTAAGGGACGCTGGACCCGTTTTCCAGCAGGTGCAGCTCCCCACCAATGGAACGGAGCCATCCATCAAGCAGGGTGAGTAGAGGGGGTGTCTGCTCTTATCAGCATCCCCTCTACTCCCCGCCTATGATGTTAAAAAAAAAA